TGCAGTACAGCAGTCACAGAACAATTTTGGATCAGAAAGAGTCAACAGAGGGTTAAAAACGAGCAAAGAGAGGTAGGGGAGAGATGGCTATGGCTGTCAAGCAGTCTGCGATTTTCACATTCAGTCACTAACAGACAGATAGACCATTATAATGACTAAACTAATCCTATCTGGATCGCTATGCAGGTAGGTGCATGGAACGGACTCTCTTTCAGAGAATCTTGCAGATATTGATGAAGATCTGGCTATGGCAGATGATAACCCTTATCTCGCCAATTTCTTCCAGATATTCCTCCTGATAATACCACGCACAGAACTGCCTCAAACTTGTTGATCCTCCTCCAGATCCTGTAGCGCTGCACTCCCTCAACCCAGATCCATTGTATCTGGTCCTGTGGCGCCCAGATAGCCATTCCCTCAACCCAGATCCACTGTATCTGGTCATGTGGCGCCCAGATAGCCCCAATACACGGAGGGCTGGGAATCATTGACTCGAGGTGCGAGACAAGAGCCCTTCAAGGCAAATGGATAGTCCGTCTCTTGACGAAACCAGAAACGGCATGGAACAAGCTGGCCTTGGACAGCATAAGGGCCCTAGCTCCGGTGTCATCGCCAAGTAACATGACGGGTCTATTCTGGGTAATGAACAAGGAATGGTCATTGAAAAAGGTAAGAAGAAGATCCAGGGGGGAAATAGTGCAGAACATAGACAAACGCCAAACGCCGTACTGGGCGGCTCTCATCCGGATTTGGAGGGAAATAATGCCAAAAAAGACCAACAGATCGAAATCTAAGGATGAGGTGCTGAGGCAGCCTCTATTTGGCAATGAATGGTTGAGGAGCAAAAGCGATGAACCCTTGTTCCTAGACCACAAATGGCTGTCTTTGGTAAAGAATGGAGTTTGGACAATTGGACACTTGTGGAACGAAGAAAAGAAGGAATGGGTGTCTGAGCAGGAGCTAAGTACAAGATTGAAGGGCTGCCATAGAAGAGGACCTAACCTGCTGTACATTACTAATCTTGTCCCTCAAGAGTGGAAAGATATGCTGAAACAAGGGGGGGATTGGAGAAGTGGAGAATGGGGGGTCAAAGTACAGGAGAATCCTCCCTCTAGGGCCTTCCAATTCTCACACCTACAACAGGGATCAGCTACTCAAGCGGTGTTCACCTCCTTTCCGGTTGCGCATTCCACGAAGGGAATGCTGTCGATTATGAATATTAACGTGGAAACCACAGTCATGGAGTACTTCTTGCTCAGGAAAGTAAGGGTGTTAGGCACATGGCCGAAGTCCATCTTCAGATTCGATACGGCGGTACAAAATTTAGAGTTTGACCCAGGGGAGTGGGCATGGAAACCAGATAAGAAGACAAACATTAAGAGGACCACCCCCATACAGGATTACACAGTCAAATTTGGGTACAAGCTACTGTTAAAAACAAAAGACCCAGAGCCGGTGATCAAGGCCAGGTGGCAGAAGCTACTAGGTCAGGAAGCTGACAACATCACACATATCCCGTGGAAAATCTATAAAACGACCAGACCAATCAAAATCAGAAGCCTTCAATGGCTAATAACATACGCAGCACTACCAGTTAATCAATGACTTCACGTTAGGCGAAAGGGCTCAGACCCTGACAGTTCTGACCAATGTAAAGTATGCACGGAGGGTGCAGTAGAGGATATAGTACACTGCTTAATACACTGTAGGGAGGCGATGGATTACTGGGCAAGAGCCTCGACCCTCTGGGACTCCCTTTTCCCAACCCCTTTCCCTGAACACCCCATCCAACTTCTCCTTCTGATTAACATCCCTGAACAGGCCCGGAAAGCGGAAAAGATTTGGTATGGATTTATCAGGAAGGTGACCCTATGCGTCATATGGAAGGAAAGATGTAGCAGAACGATGGAAAGTGTGTCCAACCCACGAGAGCTGATCTGGGCGGAGACGAAAGCAGTGATACAGGCAGAAATCCTTTGCAGATGGCGGAAGATTAAACTATCTTGGTCGGAGGATGAGGAGCAACAAAAGAAGGCTAGACGGATTTTCAGCTGGGTATGGTAGATAGGCGGGAAAGTTGCTGAGTTGCAGGACGACCGCATCTACTGGAAGGACTGGCACAACTCAAACTCAGGAAGAAGCGTTCGGCAGCAGAGAGCGGCGCACGGGCAAAGCATCTCCGGTTCAGTATCCTAAAGAGAAAACATCGAACTCGTACCATCGCATTCGTGGAGGTCCAGCCGGGGTTTGGAGATATGCCACCGGAAGGCGAGAATAAGTGAGGAAACGTTTTTTCCAGAGGATGTTAGAGTAAAGAAACAAGGATGACAGGCCCCCATATCACTCAAAGGAGACAGATATGCAGTCTTAATTCCCACCCCAAGAAGGGACAGTGAGGGCCGCTGATCGAGGGGTTAGGGTTTAGGGTTTAGTGATCCTCAAAAGAAGGGGGAACGTCTCATGGGGGAAGGGATACCTTGACACACGGACAGGGCGGATGAGGGGAAAAGCATAGATGAACAGGAATAATGGGCAAGATCTTTCTAGGTGACATAGCGCTATCTGGCAGAACTGGACTTTCAGGTCTGAGAGGAGGGAGTGAGTCATGGCAAGCTGACAGTCAATCCTCCACCAACGGTGGAGTAATCAATGCTGATCAGGGGTCCTTCGGCCAAACGGAAGGAAGCGTGAGTTTGTGGTCTAATGTAATGTTTTTTCTGACTTGCCGGTGGAATAAGAACCGGACTGATGCTCCCCAGAATAGAAGGAGCCAGGACCATAACCTGTTTTCAAACAAAAAAAAAAAAAAAAAAAAAAAAAGGAAAAAGAAACCGAGTAAGGTTGTGTTGCTGACAAGAGTCCCAGAAATGGAAATGAAGTTGAGAGCTGCACATTCAAGAGATCAGGCAATCCCCACTCACCTTCTACTCGATAGCTCGATCAAAATCGTGTCTTCCGAAGTAACATTTAAATGCAGTCGTCAACCACAGAGCACCACATCACACTCAGCGCTTATCTGGATTCTTCGTCATGATGGCTTCTATCTAGGGGCAATAGTATTGTGACAGACAAATGCTATGACATAATAGCCATACAGCTATTCTGGTGACAGAATAGCCAGTCTCTCAAAATAATGCAACAGTCATATGGCTATTCTACTAGTCTCTGAGAATAGTGTAACAGCCTAGTCTCTGCGATGATCAGCCCTCTAACTATTCTGTCGAGGATCAGCTACACCACTAGCAGTATTGCTATCTAATATCTATCCTGTGCAATGTGCAATGTGCAAGAAGCATGAGAGCCTTTAGCATTGATACAACCGAGACCATACTGAGAAATGACAGCAGTTTGTGACGATACAAAGCAAAAGTTTGAAAAGATAGCACTACTGCTAATAGTATGCCATTTTTGCTGAATAATATGCCACTTCTTCCCAGCAAGCAGTCCTCTTTCAAAAACATCTTTGCCGAACCTGTGCTCCAAAGGAAGTACTGTCGTCATTCATTCCATCCCTGCCTCCCATTTAAGTCCTTGACTCGTGTCCATACCCCATCTGACGTCACAAGCTTTCGAGATCCAGGGCTCCCACACTGACGTGACATCTGGGCCCAGCAGTACTGCTCTCCAAACTGGTGCACAGAACCCCAAGGAATCTGCCCAGATTCAGTCCCAACAGCAGACTTGATGATGCCAAGAAATCTGTCTAGTGCACGTCAAACGGGATGAGAATCACCGAAGCTTGTCACATCAAATCGGAAAATCCCGATGTTGTTAGGAGCCAGGTTGTGTGGTGTGCGACATCCTAAGAAAGAATATGGATGACCTGCATATGTGTGACATGCTGTGCGACGTGGTGTGCATGTGCGGCCCGACTCAGCCCCAGTTCACCGAGTCCCCACCCAGAATGACATCTCGACACCCAGCTAGGGGCACTAAGCAGTGACTGCATGATCTCTTAGGACATCCGGAATTATCCCCAACCAACTCCACAACTTGCCAGTCATCCAATCTAAGACAATGATGCTGAAAGGAACCCTATTAATCTTTGGTTTCACAATCCGACACCAAAAGAAGTTAAGAAGCAATGTACTCAGATAATGAGTCAGATTCAACGTTCTCATTGAAAACCCAACGCCAAAAGAAGTAAGCGGCAATTTACTAAAATTTACCCGTCAGCAACACATATGTGAGCCTTTCTGACGTTTGCACAACCCCTCCCCCCCCCTCTCCTCTTTGCAAGCTCCATTTAAAAGCAGGGCCTGGTCAATCTCGGTTCATCTTGGGTGGAAAATTTATGCCGCGGACCCAGGCGATTACGTTGATGAGAGCATCAGCAATCACTGATCGATTGGTAAAGAAAGACGGCAACCTTCTTGACGCCATTGCAAGGAATGAAGGGGGCATGCCCACAGCAGGACTCCACTTGCACACTTTCCTCTCAATGCAAACTCTGTCGGTTCGGTTCATGCCGACCCATTTGCCATGAAATAGCACGCCGGACCCTTCCATTTTTGGCCCCGACCCTTCCATTTTTGCCGTGCACTCGTGAAACCAGATACTAGTCCTTTTTATACAGACTAGGGACAGATTCAACAAAGCAACAACCATTTTGCCGCCGCATTTCCAAACAACCTGTTCAGCACATCGGCCTGTCCCTTGGGGGGTATGATGGAAAGCCCACATACTTCGCCTTGTATACTGCAGCAGTAGTGAGACTCCACCAAAACCCTCAGCTTGAATTGACAAAAAATATATATATTCTCAGAGCCTGCTATCCTGTCCACACCTTTTAAACCACCAGTACATGGCCCCATCCAAGTTGAGAATGAGGATTGAGCCTCCCCGAAAACATCGGAGGATCGGTGCAACCAACCGGACCAAAGTGGCTTGCGGCATCAGCCAAAACTGAAACATAACGCCGTGCTGGCATTTCGGCAAAGCTTGGCACGCAGTGGGAGTCCGCCTCATACAAAAGATGTACTGGTGGTGTAACGCTTTCAAATCCTCGGTTTTAACTCTACATTCCTTTCTACCATTGCTGCCATTGCTGCCTCCAAATGTTTTACCTTGTCTTCCAGTTTCTGGACCCTCTATGCGTGCTCTTCTCTCAGTTCCTTGACCGCCTTCATGTGCTTCAGCTCCAAGTCATGTTCCAGCTTCCGGAGCCTCTCTGCATGCTCTTCTTTCATTTCGTTCTCTGCTTTCATGCGCTTGACCTCCAAGTCGTCTTCCATCTTTTGGATCTTACCTGCATGCTCTTCTCTCACTTCATTCATCGCTTCCATCCACTTCAGCTCCAAACTGGCCACCGCCTGGAGAATTCTCTCCTCCACCTCTGGTTTTCCATAACCGGCTTTGTCTTCCATCTCCACAACCCTTTTCTTCTTTGATACACATGTGCCTGGTTCATCAACAGAGTCGTTTGGCGTGTTCATCCGGGGCCTTTTGGCAGAGAAAGATGCCATCTGCATCTTTGCTTTGCTTTCCTCATTCCTTCCTTTCGTCGCGATCTTCAGTACGACAAATTTTTTACCACTAAAAGCAATAACACTGTTAGAGTTTCTGCAAGGAGCCACGCATTCTACACGAAACCCGAGTCCACCGTCATAGGACGCTACTAGCCGATGGTTGGACTCATCCCAGACCCTAATTAGGTCATCACCCGATACACCAAGGATGTAAGGCAAGTGCGGATGGAAGAAATCTGTACCGAGACCCTGAAAATCGTCCATTCTCAATTTGCCTAAGGCAACTTCCTTCTTGACGTCCCAGAGTACCAGAGTTTCATAATCAATGAGTAAGCCCGTGTCATTACATGACAGTATAAGTGGCTTCTCCGGCCTGCTGCAAAAGTCAAGTTTGAAAATCTTCGCTGTGTCGCAATACCCTCTGAGGGTTTGAACACACCACCTGTTGCGAATGTCCCAAACTTTGATCGTCCCATCCCCAGAAGCACTCGCAAAGATGTTTGAGTCTGTTGGATGGAACGTCAATGCTTGTACCCGATCAGCATGACCCTCGAACGTAACTTTGTCCCAATTTTTCTGCCAATTCCACAAAACCACAAATTTGGCAGCGGAAACCAATATGTACGGTAAGGTGGGATGGGCAGCAATCTCCCATAAATAACCACTACCAGGATGTTCTAGAGCTTTGATGCAATGCAAGTTTGAAGCTTGGGTTTCATAAACGCAGGCCCTTTCACAGCGCCACGTCGCAATCCAGTTTTTCTGTGCGATGAATTTTGCAGCGATAAAATCATGCAAGCTAGGCAGCATCCAGGAGGTGACACGAGTTCCATCTTCGTAGTTCCACACTTCGAGATAATTCTCTTTAGGTCTGCAAAGGACCCATGGCTGATGAGGATGCACATCAATCGAAATAAAAGTCCCATCAGAGTCAGCCTTTTCTGAGTCGTCGAACAGAGTCCATTCCAACTCCGGCACTAGTTGAACATCTTTTTGGCCGCGAGCACACGTGGCTCCGGTACAATTCTTCATAGCTGTCACAAACACCCTTAGACTGGATATACTGACACCTGTTCGCCCGCAGGAACTGCCATTCCAAACACACGAAGTAAAATCCCAGTCGCCCAGCAAAGCAAGTGAGAGGATGGAACAGCCACAACAATTGTCAATGCCCAGGAATGTGAATCCTACACACACACACACACACACACACACACACACACACACACACACACACAGAGGAAGAGAACACACACAAGCAGAGAGGGAGAGAACACACACACACAAACACAGAGAGAGAGAACACGCACACACACAAACACAGAGAGAGAAAGAACACACACACACACACACACACACACACACACACACACGACCACTTTTCTCAAGGGTGTTGCTAACTCTGGGCGATGTGGTGAGTCCTTATCCATCAGTCAAATGAATCCAGGGCAGACTGTCGGGGTTCAACCTCCTGATGAGTCGGTGAAAGTCCGGCGAAACAGTCTCGCACAGTCATGCTTTTTTTGAGTGCATAGCGAATATGACAACACACACACACACACACACACACACACACACACACACACACACACACACACACACACACACACACACACACA